GAGGGAAGAAACAATGAAATTTTGGAGTGAAAATGAACGAAGTGTAATGCTAGTCCTGAAGGTGACGGATGCACATGGGTAATTGTATTTTATTTATTGTTTTGTTTTGTATTTTATATAGGGTTTTTTGTGTAGTAGTAGGTTCATTTTGTATTAATAAAATATAAAAAACATTTAAAAAAGAAACATGGTCATAAAACTAATGTCAATATATATTTTGCTCTAATGGGCTAAATCCAGTACATGAACCCTGGTTCATCATCAGGGCATAGAAGGTAGTGATTCTTGTATGTCTAGGGGTGCACAAAAAGCTAGCTCAGACAGCTTAAATGCATGTTCAGATTCAGAAAGGGCAGGTTTCTCAAAACTATTGGTGATGATAAATAAATGGAGAATTCACATTCCTGAATTCTCTGAATACCACAGTGTTGTTCACATTCTTCCTGAGAACATCCTGAAAGCACAAAATCTGGCTACTCTTGCAAACAGGATGATAGAATAGATACTGCCTTGGCCACCACTGTTTAATCTCCTAATCTGCTAGTAGGAAGACTGACTCTGGACATGGAATAAATGATCTTGGTGATTTCACCTTCTTCTGGTGCCACCTGCCCCGCCCACAGTCTGTACTAGTATGGTTTATTTTTCTGTTTCTGTTGAAGAATTGGTCTCCCATGTGGTGCAACACGCATATAAACCATTTGCAAGGCAAATGACAATAGAAGGGATAGGAGATGATGGAGGCAAAAAATAGCACTATAGAAATCTGTGAGTCATATCCTAAATCAACATCTTATACTGAGATTAATGTATTTTACATCTCACTACAGTACTTCTAGAGATGCAGGTTTTCTATAGCCACCCTTGTCAGCGTGATCTTAAGGTTTTTCTTATTTCCCACTGTGATATTTTTTTATATCTGAATTTTTTTCCTATATACATAGGGCCAACATCAGATACACTATACAAACTCAGAATAGATGCTGCACTGCCTTCATTTTGCAAGATTAGACAGGAATAATCACATTGACACCAAGGCTACACGCTAGCAGATGTGGCACTAATCCTGTAAACGTAGGTCATAACTTGCACCAATTTGTAAATTAGTCCATCATGGTTTAGGTAAAATAGAAAAGGAAGCAGATGTAATAAATGAAGAAACATCAAAAGAAGCAAAGGTGAAGGGATGCAGATGTTTGACTATATTCATCTTCAGATGTTAGCCTGATTTGACTGGAGATGAGGAAAATATAAACCCTTGACACAGAACAAAGAGGACATCACCGATCGCAAAACTTTGTTATGTTTTGCCAAAAATATACATTCATAACTAGCACAGAGACAAAAAACCTGTTTTATTTACTCTACTAAGAGGTGTTTTTTAAATAAACTTCTTCAAAAGAAATAATTCATGCTCCATATTAGAGTACGGTATTTGAGCAGTAACCTACAATTTTTTGTTTAGCTTTGGCTAAATTTGTTTGTGACTAGAAGGGCAAAACCAAATAATGAATGGTAAGTCAACAATTATGTAATGCCCATTTATTCAACAAGTCTGAGGAGCTGGACCTCGCAACAGATTTTAAGTCCTATAGTCTGTAAGAGACTTGGGGGAGTACTTTTATATGGACCACTAGCAGCTCAGTCTCACAGGCTGTCTATTATATATGCCTCTTGCAGAAATAGTTTCCATTAGTAAATATCTGTAATGCCCCTTGAACATAAAATATTAAAGAATAATGTAAATATTTTACATATACTGTATCATGACTAGGTAGAATGTATCAAATTAACATCAGAAACAGGCTGCCACTCTGTATAAGGAAAAAGTTAAGGCTGGAAAACAACCTTTGAATTCAGTGTGGCTTACTTCTGAGCAGATACACATATATACATGGATGTAAATGTATTAGGACAACACCCATTTTTCCTTAGCATCAAATGTGAGTGGGTCAAAAGAGAGAAGGCAAACATGAATTAATGAGAACAAAAATAACAAAATCCACCAGCTTGGGGGGAAAAAGTACAAATCCCCTGTCATATCTCAGTGTTACATTTAACAGTAGTTCTGTCCTGTAACTGATTCTTACAACTAACACATAACAGAGCATAATTATTGATATTTTTGCCAATGTGGTCCTAAACTCAGGCACAAGCTCAGAAAACATCCACAGTAACTTTAGAAGCATCTCTTTTCAAAACTAGTTCAGTTTATAATTTTCACATCATACCTGCATTTATTTTCAAACATTGCAATCAAAGAGATTAAGTGTGATCTCATGTGTACAGAGAACTAAGATCCCCTGAATTGGGCTTTACTTCCAAGTAAACAGGCAGAGGACTGCAGTTTGAACTGCACCTCAAACATCCGAGTAACTAACTAACTAATGTCTGGTTCAGTGTCTGGACACCAGAGAAACATTTCACTAATATTTACTGAAAAATAAATGTATCACTAGAAAATGCAACAAATAATTCAAATGTATCACTAGTGAACAAATGAACAAATAATTCAAATGTATACTTAATTGCCAAGCTATATTACAACATCCTAGACTGCCCTCCACCGTCCAAGGTGTTGATGGGCACAGCTCCTTGTCTCCAATCACGGTGAATGAAAAAATAGGTTAAGAAAAATGGTCGCGTGCAGTTTTTCCAAAATTCTTTTAATGAATTCTCCTTGTGCATGAACTGTTTATTTTGAACGATGCCGAATTAAAGTGCTTAAAGAAACAGGAGGGAGGGATCCACTGCGCCCACTGGCTTTCTGAGGGGAGTGACATTGTGTGTGGCACGAAAAAGTGGAATGGCCAGGCCCCTTCTCGGGCCAAAGGCCACTAACTGGCCCCTCTCCCTCTAGAGGAGTCCTTCCCGCGGCCCCAGATCCTTTGGGGGGGTGCGAAAGCAGGCACCCTCGACACGGGCCGCTCAAGGGGCAGCCCCTCCTGAGGCAGACGCGGAGCCTGGTTGCCCTCTCCCCCCCCAGGGGACTTTGCCCTCTCCTCGGCGGGACCGAAAGCCCACGGCTGTCACTCGCCCAGAGAAGGGGGCGACCCACCAAGGCAGGCGGCCTGCCAGGGCTTCTTGCCAGGGCGGTTCTCGCAGCTTCCCTCTCTTCTTTCACGCCTTCTCACACGCAACCACCACCCCCCGCCCCGACTGCCAAACAAAAGAACCGTCGCGGCCACTCCCAAGCCTAGCCTGGCAAGGGAAGCAAAAGAAATGGAGGGAGGCTCGACCAGCCCAGGACGGCGGCGGTGGCGGCGACAGGCAAACCCGAGGCGGCCG